ATTTTAAATTCAATGTGCTCAAAATTTATTAAATAAAAATACCAGACATCTGAAAAACTAATATGGAATAAATGAAAAATGTCACCTCCTGGTCATGGTTAAGTCAAAATAGGCTAATCTGGATGTGAATATTAACATTTTATTATTTTGATAAAAGGTTTCAAAATATTAAAGCACAAAATTCCTATGAAACATGTTCTGCTCCATTGCTAACAATCATTTTAAATTCAATGTGCTCAAAATTTATTAAATAATGTTCCCAGACATATTGAAAACAGATTTGTTAACTAATCTGATCTACTACACTGAAGCAACCTAGACCTTTCTTGTCAGTGTTGTTACTCTTTCAACGAGAATTTATTTCAACCTACTATAACTAAAGCATTGTTATGCCTCTGTATTTTAGACAGTAGAAACCAGACCTATTAAACAAGGATATCTACATGATGGAACCAGAATCACAATCAAGAGCTAACAGTGTATTATATATTCCCTCACAGCTTCATTTACACTTCAGATACTAGCATGAACATGGAAATAAAATGTCCAGTGTACATGTATATAAACTCAAGTAAGACATCATTCATTAGTCTAAAAAAAAAATATTAAACATCCCTTATGTAGCATTATTAATACATTAACTTCCATGTGAGTTGTATTTAACTCACACTAGTTTTGAGCCCAGGGCCTCCTGAAGCATAGGTAACTCACACATCTCTTCACCTTGGGAGCCACAAGAACTATTTTTCAAGTTGCATATAATTCACGCACAGAAAACAATAAAAAAATAACAAATTTTTCATTAAATTGTAAAGGATCATTTTGTTTTCAAAGTTTTTATTCTATTTTTGTAGTAAAACATCATGGTCCCAAGGGAAAAAAAAATTTTTTTTTCTAGTGTGGCAGCCAATGTGTTCAAGAATAAGTACAATTGGTATACAATTAACTTAATAATGTTTAATAAACCTACTACAAGTCTTCAAGCACCATTCCACTTATCCAAGCAGCACTTAAAGTTAATTCTCAGGTTCTCTGCACTTCAGAGAAGTATGTATCAGTACATCTAGATAAATCCAGATGTACTTAAATCCAGATGTACTAATACATACTAAAAAGTTTTTGGTAATCTATAACTAGATTCTAAATTTTTCTTTAAGTTATTCAACATACTCTAGTATTTGAAGACCATATTTCAAAAATTATTTCTCTCCATTCAATCAACACGTCTCTTTAGAACTGAAGAGGAAGAGTGTCAACAGTGAAACCCTGATTTGACATTTCCCTGACAGGAGAGCAAGCTTCTAACAAGGTGCCAGTCAGCATCACTTTTCATACCATTACAACCACTGATCCGGCTAAAAGATGAATAGAGGCAACAGCCAAAAGCAGAAGCAAATGATCTTGGTAATACTCAGCAACAGTAAACTGCAATTTGCTTACTGCCCTTGGATAATTCTTTTTAAAGTACTTCAAATTTCTAATACCCAGTGTTTTTAAGAATACGGCTAAAACAGAATTTTCGTGATAGCTGAGAAGAGTTATGAGACAAGTCACAGCCACAGATAATCACAAAATCAATACATCTGATTTTGAAATTGGATATACTGCAGGGAAGGGGATTTTTTCTTTTGCTTATATTTCAGTCTAATATTAAAATTAAACCAAAAAGTATTCTACAAAAGCATAAGTGTCCCAAACTGACCAATGTAACAGATAAAGAAAATGCCATCGGTTACTGAAATTTTGACCACATATAACACAAATAACAGAAAATCTATGCATGGCTTATCGACAGTTTGACTTCATCTGAAAAAGTGAAAGAAAATAGAAAGCAGAAAAACAGGGTGAAGGAGGCTTATTAGAGGAAAAATTACGCTCATATTCAAGGTTGAGGCAGAGGAAGGAGCACAAAAGTAGTGCCACAGGAACAGTGCTATAGGACATATCACACAACCTGAGAGTCAATCCACATTACTATTTATGTAAGATTGCACCCCAAGGGTTGTACAGCGCAAAACCTGCCCAACTATATATGGCATCCCTATGCAAAAGGGCTCTTTAATAAAGTGGACCAGAACATTACCTGCTGCCCGTCCGCAATAACAAAAAAGCACAATTTTCTTTTATTGTAATGTGATTAAATAAACTGGCCTCAAAACGCTACTATTGTGTATACTCAAAGTCTTACAGTACATTTAGAGTAATAAACTGGTTTATTTTACATATGGGATCAAAATGTTTATGAGTGCTTTATGTCAAAGTATTTTAGCCATGGATTTTATTTTCTTTCAAAATAGGATCAATCCTCAAACTGGATAATGTCTACATTAACACAGTACTATGTCATGATAGGTATTTAATACAATATTGAGTTTTTCAACTATAAAATCCTTACATAAAACCTACAGTTGCTATAAGATCAATCCAATTCCATGTCAAATGTGCTCTTAAGAGTTAATTTTCAACTCCTTCTGCTACTATACATAAATGCAAATCTGACAAAAAGAGAAAGAATCCAGATCAAGGCTTCTCAAGTGTAGGATGACTGGAATGAATTTAGGGTGCTGAGGCTGCTCTGCCTATCCTAAATCTGCCTTAGCCCCCAAATAGGTATGGTTATCTGAGATTCTGCAGCTCTGACCTATCCCTAGGTCACACTTCTTAAAGCTTTTCTCAAAAACCACAGTGAATTCTGCTGCCTATCTGCATCTAGCCTTGGTTAGTGGAAGAGAATCTTGAATTATTTTTGATAATTTAAGTCCAGGAGGCAGAAGGTATAGAGGGAATAAGGACCAAGAAGTGTGGCAAGCATTAGGACAAGATCCATTTAATTAAATCATCTTTTCCATGCCCACACACCTGTGACCAAAGACTATCATCTCACCAAATATACCTGTACCTTCTTTTGGAGTACCTAATAATACCACAATATCCCTCTTCTCAAGAGACAGTTTAGCAAAGTGATTAAGAACATGGAGTCTGATTATCTGGATTCAAATCCTAGCACTGCAATTTTATAAGTTCTGGAACTTTGGGCAAGGTTAACATCTCGGCCTTAGTCTCCTCATCTGTAAAATGAGGATAACAACAGTATGTACATCATGGTTTTTTTGTGAGAATTTAATGGGTTGATACATACAATGTACTTGCAATAGTACCTAGTACATAGTAGGTATTCAATAAATGTTAGATATTATCTTCTCTACCTTTTAGCTCTAATTCGGGCCACAAAAAGAATTTTAGAAAAACTATCTGGTCTAGCTACCTCATTTTACAAGTAAAGAAATCAAGGCCAAAGATGAGAATGGCTTACTGAAGACCACAGAAGTAGTTACAGACAGAGCCAAGACTACAGCCAATGTCCAAGGGATTCGCTACCATTCCACCACAGCTATGCCCACATCTGAGACTTGACATTTTGAGACTTTTTTCTAATATCCATCCCATCTTAACCACCCAACTTTTCAGCCTCTAAAAGTGATTTCATCATGTCATCCACCTACTAGCAAACTAGTAAGACTGCTAAAATAATATCTTTGTGCATTAACGTGCTAAATGCTTTACATATATTATTTCACCAAATCAGCAGAAGGAAAATGTAATTTACAAATGTGGACACTAAATCTCAGAAAGGCTATGAATATTGCTTCAGGTTTCATGGCCAATGTCTGTACCAAGAATTTGAATCCAGGTCTAACTTCATATGTGACGGAAGAAACTTTAATATGGACCTAATCGAAGTTTGCCAAACATTTTGCAACCCCTGATGTCCAACTCTTTTCATATTTTTACTAAGCAGCTGATGATAAACTCATTCCTTTCAGGCTGCATCAACTTCAATATGGTCTGTTTGTTCAGATCTGTTCAAGTTCTGCTTTGATTTGTTCTGGTTAAATAAATTCAATTTCAAATTCCACAAGATAAAGGAATTGTTTGGCCAAATGAGCATTTAAACAGAAGCTAGATCCTCAAAGAATGGCTAGCTACATTAAGTTTAATCAGTGAGGAGTACAGGCACCAGAATACATAGGCACAGCTTTGGGAACACCTGGAATACCATCTGTCCCTAATACTGTTACATAATATTCCGAGATTGATACATTGTATAATAGAAGTCCGGCCTTTCAGGAATGTATCCTTTTACTCCTTTCCAAACCCTACTTATCAAAACTTGTTCAGTAGGACTCTTGGGAAAAATCGATGAAGAAACAAACCCAGATGCTGCTTTCAGCTCCTGGAAAGATATTCCATCCCTATTACACCGCTCACGAACCTGCCTCTTCCCTTCAGCGTCCTCTCCCACCACCCAAGCTATTGCAGAGCAGCCACAGGCAAGTCCAGGCGTGCCGGGTCCCACCCCACCAAAACGCCCCTCCCGCAGTGCAATTCCAGAGCAGGGGACTGGAAAGGGGCCTCCGACCCAAGAACAAGAGCGCCGGGGAGAAAGCCGCAGGATATCTATGTCAGGGACCGCGGGCGGCCCCTCCCCAAAAGAACCTCTGGGCCTGATAACGGAAAGATAAGAAAAAGAGGCTGCGCAGGGGTTCTACAGGGAGCCAGGCCTCAGCCGCCCACCAAATGCCCAGGCCCGAGACCGTTCTTCCCCGGCCCCTGGTGCTCCAGGCCGCGTCCAGCCCGCCCCGCCCTCCAGGCCCTGGCGGTACCGAGTGGCCTGGGGCCAGGCCCTCCGCTGCTCAGGACGGCCCTCACCTTTCTTTTGAGGCGCCGGGAAGGGGAGGGATCGGGAAGATACCACAAGCCGGGCACTTAGACCAACTGACACCGGCAGCTCCGCCCTCTCCGCCCATAGAACGTGCGCCGTGAGAGTCCCGCCCCGTCCCGCCCCGGCGCCCGCCAATCACGACGCAAAAGTGCACGCCTGCGCATTAGCTGCCCACCGCCCCAATCGTCCTCTGTCAAAGCACCGTGATCCACCTCTGCCATAACAAAAGGGCATAGACACCCAATCAGGATTGAGGACGCTGTGGGCGGGTCCAGGAAGAGCAACAGCCAATGACAGTGCAGAAACGAAGTGCATGAAAGCCGGTCTTAGGGAAACCGCAGGTCGGTCTCTTAAGGAATCTGAAAATCGGAGTCAGAAGTCTGGTGGGGAAAATCAGGAAGGAGGCTGGTACGACCAAACGCTGAGCGAGGGAGAAACTATTCAAATTCAAGAAAAGAGCATTTGCAGACAAGCAATGCGATACCGTGGTTCCTGAGTTTTAAAAGCAGACTTTTTCATATTTTTATTTCCAAAATCGGAAAGCTCATAAAGTACTGCTAGTGGAATGTTCCTCTCCATACAGCGCCCCACCAACTATTCTTAAATCTGTAGTGTGCCTGACCATTTGATATTTTAGAATTGAGAAAATACCTTAATAGTACTTAGGTATAGCCCTTTCGCTCACCTTATCCCATCTGATCCTCTCTGCAACCCCACAGAAAGAAACTGAAGTGTAAAAGTCAATACATGTCTTGTTCAAGGTCATACCGGCGATATGAAATGCTATGTTGCAAGACTTTGAGGTGTAATGTGATCTCCGTGACAGTGTTCATAGTAATCTAGCACGTGACACAAAGCAGCATCCTGCTTGTTTTTAATATTTGTTGAGTGCAGGGTAGATATCCAAGGAATACATTATAGTTTTGGCTTTAGCACAAGCTCCTGAGCTGTCGAGAAGGGCCTTATGTCTCCCTGTTTCCTGACTTTTTACTTCTGGCACAGTTTGCTGACACATAGCCTTAATCCTTTTAAGGGCTATATTTAAAAATCTTTTGTTTGAGAACTATACATTTGGCTGGGACTACAATACCCAATTTGAGAAAATTTACTAGAGTGCAATGTAGGAGCTAAATAAATGAAAAAGAAAATCCAACAGAAATCTAATAGGAGTGCCAAAAAGAGAGACTAGAGAGAATGCATGCAGGCAGTATTCAAAGAGTAATAGCTAAGAATTTTCCAAGATTGTGGAATGTTTGAATCTTCAGATTCAAGAAGTACTTATTCTCGAGCATGATTAATATAAAGAATTCCATGCAATGGTGAAACTACAGAACACCAAAGACCAAGAGAAACTATTAAAAGGAACTTTTTTTTTTTTTTGCTAGAATAGTTTTTTGAAATTTTTTAATTGTAGTGAAATATACATAATATAAAACTTAGCATTTTAACCAATTTTAACTTCAGTAGTATTAGATACATTCACGTTGTTGTTCAATCTCCCGAACTCTTTTTATTCCCAAACTGAAGCTCTGTACCCATTAAACAATCTCCCATTTCCTACTTCCCCAACCCCTGGCAACTACTATTCTATCTGTTTCTATGAGTGGAATCGGTTATTAAGTGGAATCATACAGAACCCATTAAGAACCTATTAAGTGGAATCATACAGAACTTGTCCTTTTGTGATTGGCTTTTCTTTAGCAGAATGTCCTCAAAGTTCATTCATGTTGTAGCATATTGCAGAATTTCCTTTTTAAGGCTGAAAAATACTCCATTGTATGTATACACCATATTGTATCTTTTTATTTATTGATGGACATTTAGGTTGTTTCCACCTTTGGGCTATTGTGAATAATGCTACTATGAATATGGGTGTGCAAATATTTCCTTGAGACCCTGTTTTCCATTCTTCTGTATGTATACCCAGAAGCGGAAGTGCTAGATCATGTGGTAATTCATTTTAAAGCAACTTTTAAAAGAGCAGCTTTGACGCAAGAATAGGCGAAAAGAAAATGAGAAAGGAGGATACCCGGAAGTTGGTATCTGATAAAGATATCTTGTAAAGTTGTGGGAAAGAGCTTTTTCACAATGGGTTTGCCACCAGAACACAGGTGCCGTGAAAACCACCCATAAAAGCCGAAATGGGGAAGGAAAAGACTCACATTAACATCGTCGTCATTGGACACATAGATTCGGGCAAGTCCACCACTACTGGCCGTCTGATCTACAAATGTGGTGGGACTGACAAAAGAACAATCGAAAAATTTGAGAAGGAGGCCACTGAGATGGGCAAGGGCTGCTTCCAGTATGCCTGGGTCTTGGATAAACTGAAAGCTGAGCATGAGCTTGGTATCACCATTGATATCTCCCTGTGGAAATTTGAGACCAGCAAATATTATGTGACTATTATTGATGCCCCAGGACACAAAGACTTTATCAAAAACATGATTACAGGCACATCTCAGGCTGACTGTGCTGTCCTTATTGTCGCTGCTGGTGTTGGTGAATTTGAAGCTGATATCTCAAAGAATGGGCAGACCCGTGAGCACGCCCTTCTGGCTTACACATTAGGTGTGAAACAACTAATTTTTGGTGTTAACAAAATGGATTCCACTGAGCAGCCCTACAACCAGAAGAGATATGAAGAAATCGTTAAAGACCTCAACAATCCTATCAACCAACTTGACCCAACAGACATTTATAGAACATTCCACCCAAAACTGAAGAACACCCTTTCTTTTCAAATGCACGTGGAACATTCACCAAAATAGACTCTATTCTGTATCATAAAACAAACATCAACACATTTAAGATAATTGAAATCAAATTATTTTCTCTGCCCATAAAGGAATTAAAGTAGAAATCGGTAACAGAAAGATTTTATAAATCCCCAAGTAGTTGGAAATTAAACCATGTACTTCTAAACATACCATGGGTTACAGGTGAAGTCACAAGACAAATTAGAAAATTTTTTAAATTAAATTAAAATGTAGACATATCAAAATTTGTGGAATGCAGCTAAAGTAGTATTTAGAGGGATTTTTTAAAATCATTAAATGTTTATATGAGAAAACAAGGAAGATTTCAAATAAAAAATCTTAGCATTCACTTTAAGAAATTAGGAAAAGAAGAGCAAATCAAACTCAAAGCAAGCAGGTGGAAGGAAATAATATAGAGCGAAAATCAATTCTATTGGCAAACCATAAAACAATAGAAAAAAAATAAAACAAAAAG